CAACAGAGCACAGAACCTGCAGAAGAACCAGTAGAACCGGATGAAGAAGGTGAATAATGAGGTTAAATATGTGAGAACACCTCATCAATGACGGCTGATCAATCAGGGTTCCCGCTCTCTGTAAGTCCGTTTCCAGGACAACGAGGATGATCAGTTCTTATTAATGGATTAAAGATAAACAGTCACATCATCCTGATTTTATTTGTTTGTTTTCAGTGAAGATTTAAGATTTCCAGGTCCTTCCAGGACTGGAGATGGTTTTCCAGGTTTTCCAGGTTTTCCAGGCACCTTGACAATGTCACATTCTTATAATTATTTGTCGTTCCAGTAATTAAATATATAATAACAGTAACGTTTGTTGGGCTTTATGTTAATAAACAAACATTTAAAGAGTCTGAACTGTTTGTTTGTTTGTTTGTTTGTGGTGAAAAACTGAATCTGTAACACCGACATGTAAATAATACTAACAATACGAGTTCAACTGAATCAAAAACTGTAATTAATTACAATTACAGAAAACCCTGTAATCAGATTACATTTTTAAAGTAACTGCTCCAACCAAAATATAACTGAATACTCTGCACACAATATTCAATTTGAACATTACAAATACAAAAAAATCTGATTAATTTTGTGTTGATGCTAAAATAGCTTTTACTTTTCACATGTTTAATATGTGATTATTAAGTAATTACTAATTGTTTATATGTGTTTGTACAATACAGTAATTAATTAGTATCATTATTGATGATTTCTCTGTTTTATAGTATAAAATCTGGATTTTATGACTATTTCCATATTTATCTACAGTGATGTCTGTAATATTATAATATATTTATAAGATACCACAGAATATTATAAAGGCGTTATTACTGATTATCAGGAGCATATAATATATCTTCCTGGTGAATTTTCATTTTGTTTTTGGAGGAAGTATAAAGGGAACTTGTATAAATGTCCTGTGGTCTGCTGGTGCAGAACTCCATTAACAAAACGCTCAATTTTCATTCACTTGCTGTTAGCTGGCTGTTAGGTGTGTTGGTCAGCGTTTTACCTGTTGTACAAGTGCAGGATAACGTATGTAATGTTAAACATGAGCTGGCACTCAGTGTGGGTGTGTTACAGACACATTTAATGGAGGTAGTTTGCGGTTTATGTCCGGGGGAGGCTGACACTCACCTGCCGGGTAGACGGAGCATCAGACGTCAAAAAATGCGGAAATGTCGAAGTTGAGACGGTTGACTGAAAGCAGCTGGGTGTCAGAGAGGATGAGTCCGGATTAAACCCAACCGGAGAGAGTCCGAGAAAACACAACAGGCGATAAACGTCCCGGTAAATACGAATAAAGGGATAAAATCCACAGGGAGACGTGAGGAGGACAAAACCGGCCGTTTTCTCTGCGGACTTCGGCTGCTGCTCTCCGGCCTGCTCCCACTACACAACACTACGGGGTCTCCCACACACATACATCACCTGCACGGGTTCGCCGACTGTCAGATGTCAAAATAAAAGTCCGTTTTTGTTTTTCCGTTGAAATCCGCACGTGTGCTGCAGAGGTCGGGTCGCTGCGACTGACTGCTGCTGCACGAGCTGCTGAATCATCCACACACACACACACACACACGTGCACGCGGACAGCGCTTGCGTGAGGCACAGCTGACACTGACGTCATCTGTAAACATAACCCTTTCCTCACCAGACTCCATTCTGTAAACAGCGATTTCTACCAAAAACACTTCATCGTGAACATTTAAAAGGTTTTTAATGAGAATTTAATTCATTTGGGAATTATTTTTAGTAAGTAGATAAAAACGTCTCGTAATAACAGACGTAGAGAAACTAACATTTACTCGAGGAAACCAGTGGAACCTGAACACAACTCCCAACTATTGCTGTTATTATCTTTATCTAGATGGTAAATCTGTAAATAATTGATCATATTTTCTATTATAACATGGTTATATGTGAATTTGATGCTACATGTTTTCTTTTAACTCTAACATTTCTTTTTGCTTTGGCAACATTATCTTTGTTACACTCATGAAGCAAATTGAACTGAACTGAAACTGAATTACTGTTTGTTAGCTGGTGAATATTATCTTTACCTGTAATAATTCAATATTATACATTTGATTATTTATTTATTTATGTGAATGTACAATATGTCATTTCTGCCACTAGGGGGTCTCTCACATCACAGCAAAGACAAAGAGAAGAAGAAATGTATTTATTATATTTATCGTTTAGCAAAAATGTTACAGTGTTATTTATTTATACTATATTATTATTTATTTATTTTGTAATATTGATCAAATATCACTTTTATTGTGTAGAACCTTCAGTGTCTGGCAGGAGGAAACATTTCCAATGCAAATGATCCTGTTACGTACCAACAACACTCGTTTATGTTGACAAACAGTGTTTGTTGTGATGCAGCTGATAGTTTGGTGACAGTTGCACCGTTGCCCGAGTTATCAGCCCCTACAAAGCGCTGCAGGCCGCCTCGGGGCAGGAGAGCCAGCCTTAGGGGCTTTGGGTCCGAGGCTCAGTGGACACAATGGATGCTGGAGGCGGTTTTTATGGGATTTGGACCCGAAGGTTTTTTATTCAATCAGGAAAAACAGGACAAATGTTGTTTTTACAGACTTTAAAATGCAAAACTGATCCTATACCTGAAATCTGCTGCTGTTGGTGTGTTGTTACTGTTTGTCCACTAGAGGGCAGAATTCACTTTTCTTTCAGTCTGCAGCTCTGAACACATTGTCAATAATAACACATTCATCCGTCATTAACCTGTCAATAAAAACAGATTAATGTGTTATGATGACCAGATGGAAAAAGGAAACCTTTATCAGATAATATACATTGTTAACATTAAACTGTACCTTCACTGTGTCAGCCTCTGTATCCTCAAATTTATAGACTATATTTCCTTTAAATTACACTTACTCTGTATCGTTTTTGTCCTGTGAAATTATATTATGGATAAATTAAAATAAATATGACTATTTTTAATATAATGCAACACACTGTGTGTTCAATGATCTGTGTAATGTTCCATCAAACATAAAAGATTTTATGTTGGAAAACTGTCAAACCATTAAAAGACAGTAAAGTATAAATAAGTTAAATACGGTTAACAGTAAAACACTGTGATATCTTATAGAAAACTTTTATTTATACGGCATATTACATCATATTTTTAAATATTACAGCCTGTAAATTCCACAGAAAACCACCGTCATATCATTCATGTTGTTGTTTTGATGGTAAAAACGTGTATTTATACAATAAAATATGGAATAAAACTCTGAAATCAACAGTACTAATATCCTTTAACGTAATAGTTCTACTGTATTTATTAGGAGCCAAGCACAGCCGACAGTGTTTTACATTGTGGAAAGTTTCTGTGAGCTCAGTGAAAATCAGATTTTAAGGGGCGGAGCCTACGAGCATGATTTGTGACATCACAAATAGTTGAGAGGTCAGTCCTGGTCCAGCAGCTTGTACAGATCACTGAGGCTGAGGCTGAAGGAGGAGACAACCTGTGTCAGAAAACATTTCCATATTCACAGATTCTGATTCATAATGAGGTTTAAAAGGAGGAGAAGAGTTTTTAAAGATTTTAAAGTGCAAATTATACTTTTGTATAAAAAACACATATTGTTGTTCCAAGCATATTTGTTTTTACGTCTTTAAATTCTCCTTCTTCCTCTCCATCCATATAATCAGCAGCTTTATTTATGGACATTAAAATGTATTTTAAAGCTGATTTGGTTGCATTTTCCAACTATCTGTAAATCTCTGCGGATCTGAAACAATGAAGGAGCAGAGTCAGTGCGGCTGTGAGATCGATATGTTGTAGTGTGAGAGTGAATATGTTAAGGCTGGAGAGGGTAAACGCACTTTAGCAGCCTCAGTCACTCAGCAGCCGCCGGTCGGTTCCTGTCGGGAGGAAACGGACGCACAGAGTTTGGAGAGGACGGATTCACGGGGAGAGGCGGACATGGCACCCTAACATCCATGGAGAGGTTTCACAATGAGAGCCACAACCACGACCAGGATCCCCGGGTGGTCACGGCGGGAGCGGACAGCCCCGCGCCGGCCGGAGGTGTCAGTCTCCGCGCGCTGACCGGCTGCGTCCTGTGCGTCCTGATCGTCTCCACCCTGCTGGGGAACACCCTGGTGTGCGCCGCCGTCATCAAGTTCCGCCACCTGCGCTCCAAAGTCACCAACGCGTTCGTGATCTCTCTGGCGGTGTCCGACCTGTTCGTGGCCGTGCTGGTGATGCCCTGGAGGGCGGTGTCCGAGGTGGCCGGGATCTGGCTCTTCGGCCGCTTCTGTGACACCTGGGTGGCGTTCGACATCATGTGCTCCACCGCGTCCATCCTCAACCTGTGCATCATCAGCATGGACCGCTACTGGGCCATCTCCAGCCCCTTCAAGTACGAGCGCAAGATGACGCGCAGGTTCGCCTTCCTGATGATCGCCGTCGCGTGGACCCTCTCCATCCTCATCTCCTTCATCCCCGTGCAGCTCAACTGGCACCGCGCGCACAACTCCACGGCGGGCAACCCGGACGACTGCAACGCGAGCCTGAACCGGACCTACGCCATCTCCTCGTCCCTCATAAGCTTCTACATCCCCGTGGTGATCATGGTGGGCACGTACACGCGCATTTTCCGCATCGCGCAGACACAAATCCGACGCATCTCGTCCTTGGAGAGGGCGGCGGGGCCCCGTGCGCAAAACCACCGCCACCGCGCGTCGACGCACGACGAAAGCTCGCTGAAGACCTCCTTCAAGAGGGAGACTAAAGTTTTAAAGACTCTGTCCATCATCATGGGGGTGTTTGTGTTCTGCTGGCTGCCGTTCTTCGTCCTGAACTGCGTGGTTCCGTTCTGCGACCTGGACCAACTCGGAGCGCCGCCGTGCGTCAGCGACACCACCTTCAGCATCTTCGTGTGGTTCGGCTGGGCCAACTCGTCCCTGAACCCGGTCATCTACGCCTTCAACGCCGACTTCAGGAAGGCCTTCTCCACCATCCTGGGCTGTAATAAGTACTGCTCCACGTCCGCGGTGGAGGCGGTGGACTTCAGCAACGAGCTGGTGTCTTACCACCACGACACCACCCTGCAGAAGGAGGCCTGCGCCGTGCCGGGTCCCGGGGCGGCGCAGAGGCTCCCGCCGCAGACCGGAGGGAACCTGGAGCAGAACTTCGACAAAGTGTCAGTGATTTCGGATGATTCCCGCCCCCGCAGCAACCTGCTGCTGCCCGCCATCCTGCAGTACGAGTGCGAGGCGGAGATCTCTTTGGACATGATGCCGTTCAGCTCCTCCGGACCCGCAGACTGTTACCTGATTCCGGGTCAGATCCAGGACCTGTGAGCAGCCCTGCGTCAGTTGAAGTGGGTGACCTTTGACCCCCTGCTGACGATGACGCCATAAAGGTGTTTGTGTTGTACACTGTAAAACCTGATGAGTTAGTTCAACAAACTGCTTTTCTATCAGAGAGTAAACTGATCAATGAACCTGTGAATAGTGATCAGAGTTTTTATGATATTTTTATAAAAGTCTCTGTCTGTGTTATGTTTTTATTTTTAACAATCTTACAGACTATATAATATTAATATTCTTCTTTTCTGACAGATTCACTGTTTTCTTCTCCCTGACACTTGATGTCATTGTTCTCATACAGTTTAAATCAGAAAAAACGTGTTTACATCGAAAATTTAAAGCAGCACGAACTCAGTTTTCTAATTTAAGTATTTAAGTACTTTTACTAGTTTTATTTTCACAATTCAAATCTCTCAATCTCAATCAAATCTCAAATCTAGAAAAAGTTTTAGTTAAATGTATTGATTTGGTGTAATATAAACTTTAAAAATAACCGTTTGATTTAGTTTTCCTGATGAAAGGTTGAGATATAGACCGACTGTGTGTTCTGTTAAGTTTTATTTCACCCTCGTGACTCCCTGTGAAGGCTTGACGACCCCTAGTGGGAGCCCCGACCCCGAGGTTGGGAACCACTGACTTAAACCGATTAAATTTATGAACTCCAAAAATTTAAGCTCACTCCAAAAAATAATTCAGTTGACCCACTTAAATAAAAGTCTGCAAGATAAAACGTATAATTTATAACATACAAACAAACGTTTAAAGTTGGAAACGTTATTTTGATGAGTTGGAACAAGTTAATTTTTCTGAGAAGCGAAATCAACTTAAAAACTTGTGTTTATGCTACTAATTATTAAATAAGTGGTGATTAAAAATACATTTAATTGAAGAGGAGAAGCTAATTCACAGAACTCAATGTACATTATAAAAATAAGTTAATTTAATTAAAACATAAACATTCTTTAGTAGTTTTAAGTGACAATGACTTCAGTTTGTGACATGTTTGATGTATTTATATGACATAAGGCAGTTTAGTTTGATGCAGAATGTGTGTTAATGTTAGTATTTGTTGTTAAGCTTAAACATTTGTGTTTATGAATTATATATATTCATTATATATCATGAAGTACAAACAACTGATTTAATGTAAAAGGTAAATTAAGTTAATTGTGCTTAAAACTAGTAATTTACACTAATATACAGTATTTCTCCAAACTTATTTAAAATGTGTGAACATCATTTATCTGAATGACTTAAATGCCTTTTTATATGTATGTTGTATATATCTTTAATGTTACCATTTATTTTCTTTAAGTTGACTTTATATATTATTTAAAAAAGCCCCAAAATTAATTAGCTGCCATTTTGATTAATTGTAAATCAACTGGTTTGACAGGTAAATTCAACTTAAGTGGTTATATTTGTATAAAGAAGATGCAGTTAAGTGACTTTATTATGGATAAATATAATAGATAAAGTCTGTGAACACATTTTAGATAAGTCTGTAATTTACTTACTAGATCTTAGTTCAATTTACTAAATTAAATTGGCAAAACTAACTTAATTTACCTGAGTTACATTAACAATAAATACTTGAGTTACTTGAACAGAAATAAAATATTTGTTTTTGTTAATGAACAGTTGAACTCACTCATCAGGTTAAGTGCAATACTTAGAGGTCCAAACCACAAATCTGCTGTTACATTTATTTTGCTATTGTATTACGATTATTTGACAAATATATTAGTGGGATTTATCATTTTTGCATCACAAACAAACAAACAAACAAACAAACTACTAGATTTTATTGGAACAAGTTTCCTTTGATTTTTAATGAATTATAAAAAAAATATTTGTGCAGTAAAATCAAATCAAATCCTGGAGGGATCGCCACGCTGCATATCGCAGTACTCTTTAATTTAAACAAATTTAATTACATTAGACTTACGGAATTTATTTAGGAAATAAAACAATGTATTCTTAAGATACTTCTTTTCAATACTTTACAGATGTGCCACAATGATGTGTTTGAGTTCACTAAGCAAATATTACATGTTGGGAAACAACACTCCAAAATTAGGTTAAATTTTGGTGATTAAAAAAACTTCTAACCTCGATACCTGAGTGGAAGTTGGTTCTATCACCTACTGTTCTATGTCAACATGGCTGCCGTAACAAAGGTCTCTAAAGCCTCAGTTGCTCAGAAAAACCACCAACGTCACTGACGACAATTTGGTTTAATTGGAACTTTTTTTTAATGGAGTTTGGTTTGATGTCGGTTTGTTGGAGGTTCGTTCTTTCCCTCGAGTGCGAGACCGACAATCGCTCAGTTGCAAAAAACATATCTAAAAACAGAAACACTGCTGTGAAATCAGGTATTTTAGGGCTGCAACAATCCCAAAAAAAGACTGATAGATCATTAAAGGTCCAGTGTGTAAATAATGCTCCAAACTGAAGCTTATTTTGGTGATAGAAAACTGGTGACCTGATGAGTCTCGCCTTGCTAACCCCGTGCAGTTTTTTTGCATGTGGTATAATTGTGCTATTTAAATACTTGGGGTCCATAAACTGTGTTAGAATTACATACATTTGGAATGAATGGAAAGCTGAGACACATACTACACAGACTCTTGTATAAGTCAGCGCCTGGTCTGGTCAGTCTGGAAACGCCCCTGCTCCACACCAGCCTCTGGACACCATGAATATTTCTCTCCTGTACACGAGTTTACAAATCCTCCATTTCATGAATGTTTAATTGACTGTGAATGTCAACAGAGCTACAGGGTGAATGGTGTCATGTTGCATATTATAACTTTATGTTGGAAATGTGGCCAGATGAATTTATTATTCCTGTTGAAAATATATATGCAGCAGTTTTTTCTGTCTCCAGACTGTTCGTTTACTGGATTTTGCCGCAAATGTTATTTAACCGTCTCGTGCTGTAAACTCTGTCAGCAGGTGAAACAATAGTCTTAGACAACAGACTCCACTGACAAAGACATTACCTTGCATATACTCAGTCTTTCCACTAATCATCAATGCTGGTTTGTTCGAAACAAGCCCTTAATTCAATAAAAGTAAAAGCGAATGAAAAATACAAAACTCTGTTAATGACTTTAAATCCAGTTGTTTTAATTGATGCAGCGAGAGACATTTTAACCAACGTTGTTTGATGTGAGTGCTCACTGGCTCGCTAAAACCTGCCTTTGATATGTTAAAGAAGGCTAATACGACGAGCAGGGATAATTAATATCAATTACATCATTAGTTTCAGGGTTTAATTGCCCCTTCAGGTAATTGCAGGCTGTTTCTGTCAGAGGTCCTGCTCCTGTTAAGATGAGACATTCAAGTGTTTGTCCTTTCACATTGAATTGTGTTGTAAAGGTCCAACATGTTTAAACTGAAGGTTGAATTATTTTAGACGGCCTTTCTCGGGCCTCTCGGCTAATGCCAAACTGGTTGAAGCTTCAGCTGTTGCTTGGAAACCGCTTGGGACAGGTGGACATATTGGAGGTTTTTTTCCCCCCTTTGTCTGTTCAGTGCCTTTGAGGTACTATCAAGCCATTTAGCTACACTATATGTATGAGACACATAATCTGTAAGCCACTGTTGAATTTTGTGTTGCGTTTCATGAGTTTGAGCATGTTGCAGCTGCTCAAATTAGCTTACACTGCAAACAAAAATATATACTGATGGTGATAATATTCCTACAGGAGGATTTTGAGTGCGTTATTAGTACTTTCACTGTAGTTCCGAAGCGGAGTTTTCAAAGCCAGTTTGAAGGACACAAAGGGTCGCAGCGAGGCGTCTGATCTTTCAGGCCAAGGACACGGGCCTTGTGAACAGGTGGAGTGCTGCGATTTTGACTCTATTCCAGATGGAGAGGTTGGAGCCGATTAACAGTCAGCTTCCTGCCAGACAAAGGATGAAGGATAAATTGTCTTTGCATGAGAAGTGTTCATTTGGCACCACTCTGTTCCCACAGGGGAGTTCTACAATCTGACAGCAGTTTGTGTAACATGGATGAGGAAAGCTGAATGTGAGCAGCAGCTTTCCAAATATTCTATGCATATTATTTCAATTTGTAGGCTCAAATAATGAAATTCATTTAGAAGACCAATGTGTAGGATTTAGTGGCATCTAGTGTTTCACCCTCCAGTTCAAAGCATTTAGGAGAAACACCCCAATCTAAAACCATTGTTTGGTTTGTCAGACCAGAGTCCAGTTTTACAAAAAGACTTTTATCTTTGCCATAGTCAGACCTTCATCCAAAATAGTCTGTTGCAACGTGGCCATGGTTATATTAAATTTACAGTATGCAATTTCTGCCATCAGGGTGGTCAGGCACTGCTGGATCATGGGAGTTGTCTAGAACCACAAAATGTTCAACTTAAGGCATAAGTGAAGCATAAATTCTGTAATAAACAGTATGCAAGTTTCCATAGTCAGATTTTTTTTACCACTGTTCAAACATGTAAACGGTTCCAGGACAGTTGAAGTTCGGCGTACAAAACAAGGACAAAGGTTAGATGTGATGAAACATTAAATATTTAAGACTTCAGGTTGCCTTTTTACCCCTTTAGAACTTCCTTCCATCCTTCACTGGTGGATTCTTGCTTGGTGCTTTGGCAGCCTCCAAGGGAAAGGCTGGTGGGTCATAGTCTAGGGAGTACTTTGTGTGGGAAAGGTCTTCTCTTGCACGCTGGTAGCCATTCCAGGACTGGATGACGATGGGTGGAGGAGGCAAATCAGACGGATTGCTCCCACTCTGCGGCATCTCCTGGTTATCAGTTTCCCAGATGCTGAAGTCTGGAAAACCACGGGATGGCATCCAGTTGCTCGGGTCGTAGAATGAGGCATCGGCTCCGCCAGGAACGCCTGGAGCAGCGGGGTTTCCGTAGGCGTATGGATCAAGTCTGTAAGAGGGGTAGGCTGCAGGGAACTTGAATGATATGAGACATGTAATTGTCTTCCCAGAAGGTTTCTACCGTAAAATACTTTATTCACACACGTTTCAACTTCTGACACATCTCTGTCCAGACTACAGGTAATCCGTACACCCGCTACATGGGGCTTCCAGTGGTGGACATTGACCTAGACGCCACATCTGTCTGAAGGGCTCACGTCCTCGACGCTGCAATCTTCAAAGCAGACTTATCAGGCCAGCAACCGGAAACCAGTTCCCATGCCTGGGAGCTCCTGTTGCGCAGCTTGCAGGTTCCTCACAAAAGTTATGAGCGAACAGATTTATTGTGCAACCTAATGATATCCCCAGCTCCCTCAAATGGACGCCTCCCCAGTGCTCCCTGGCTG